TCTTGCATCAATACCGCTTCCATTTTCCTTATAAAAACGATATCTTATTGCTAAAATTTTTTTAAAAAAAAAATACCAGACATATATATGAACTGTTTTCGAACACCTTATATAATTACATAAAAACTTCGATTATAAGTACCTATATTCATAACTGTATTTCTTACAAGAAATCGCACACCTACTCTTAAGTCCAGTCTGCAGACCTATTTATGTAAATACCAATTTAATTATTATTTTAATTCGTTTCTAAAAACTTGATCGTCATTATTGCATATTATGATAAACGTACTAATTTGTGTAACTGTATCAGCGTTGATGAGTTTCAATATTGAGTAATTTAAAGCAATTACCGGGTGCAGTTAATTAAAACGGATAGAACTTCCGTCACCGACGCGACGCCAACTACGATAGAGTCCCGGTGGTAATAACGACGGACCTCCTCCACTATATCAGTGCATGAAACTTGACAAATCTCAGAGTTCAATTTAACACACGTGGACGAAACTTAATAAGAGTCGCAACCCCTCTGGCGACTGACTAAGTGAAAAGGGAGGAATTGGGGTGAAAAGTGGGTTGTTTAGCACAAATCTGAGGGGAAAAGAATAATAATACCCATCGGGTGCACGTGTCCATGTGTTCCGTTTCAAACGAAGTTTGTCGTAAAATATTTGCAATACATTTAAACAAAATAAATAGAAGTAACTACAGGATATAGAAAAATATTAAAAACTCACCCTAATCACCACACGGTATGGACTGGTTTCTGAAAAAATACATTTTATAAGTTAATTGGTTTTATAGGTGGTGTAAAAATTAATTAGTTTGTAAATTACATCTATTAAAAATTTCAGTCAAATCTACTTTAGAAGATCTGTTCTGTATCACATTGCAAATAAGCATCGAAAATACATCGCTTTTTCTTGTGGATTTTGACCTGTTTTGTTTGAAAGAAATGAAAAGCAAAAATTGGCACATTTTGCTGTCTGTCTAGCCACTGTAATGTGAACACATTAAGTATCGAACAAAATAACAAGATTATTTTTCTTAGTACATATTTATGGGCTCATTATTGTCCCAGGTTTATTTTTAAATATGGGTTCTGTCTGGAAAAAGCATGTCACAAAGTGCTACTTACTTTCTACACTGTCTATGCATGGTAAAATAAATAATGATAGTATGCATAGAGAAATAGAAATGTTGTGCATGTTTTAAAATAATATAAAACATGTACAGTCAAACATCCCTAAACCGAACTAAATGTTCAAGTTAGAGAAAATTTGGATTAAGGATGTTTGGGAGGTACAATCGGAGGCAAGAGTACATAAAATTAGAAATTCGTAATTAATTAGGTATTACAGCATATCATGGAATAAATAAATACTATCTATACTAAAAAAAAGTATACGGTTTGAGAGAAAATTTGGAATTTGACCAAAAACTTTGAATAAAATAAGAAATAACGAATAATATGGAAAACTTTTAACTGACTTTCGGCAGTGAATATGCCTAAAGTCAGTAAAAAT